TTTGATTGAATTTAGAATATGGTGAATTTACTTGGAAAATTTTGGAGTTTATGTGAGTGAAAATGCATAAAAGGGTGGAGGATGGTGCGACACAATTGCGTCATGTTCAGCTCGAGCAACGACTAAGTTTGGTTCTTCCAAATTCTTTGAAAAAGAAGTTACCTTTGAAGGTGTTTTAAGCAATGATCCATCTCAGAATCCAGGTACGAGAAAGCTATAGTTCTGTTGTTGGTTTTTTATAGTTGCCCTTCTTGTATAAGGTAGTTTTGAATCTGTTGATGTTGCAGAATTCTTTAACTGGAACAAAGTTGCGATACGGTACTGTGATGGTGCTTCTTTTGCTGGACGCCCTGAAGCTGAATTCAAGGTAATATTAAGGTTTTGTTAGGCTGAGAATTTGTGTCAGAGAGCAATAAAGGTTCAACATTTTCATGTTTCTTCAAAAGAATGAGACACGGCTTTTCTTCCGGGGACAGCTCATTTGGGAGGCAGTTTTGGATGAAGTGTTGTCGATGGGTATGTCAAATGCGAAACAGGTAGCGTCCTCTTTGATCTCATAAAAGGAATTGCGTTTGTTAAATTTTCTGCACTCCTAGGATTCACCTGCTTAGGTAGCTTGCGTCTGCTAGAGATTAATACTTGACGTTTGAGAAAATGTAGGCCATACTTACAGGATGTTCTGCTGGTGGCTTGGCAGCTCTTATACACTGTGACTACTTTCGAGATCATCTGCCAAAAGATGCATCTGTCAAATGTGTTTCGGATGGCGGCTTCTTCCTCAACCTGTATGTTTCCGCTCATAAACTGCCTTATTTTCTCATGAATTTTTTACTAAGACTTGTGAGTTCTAGTGCTCTTTTGTTAAATTGGTCTAAGCTAGTTTACAGAAGAAAACCTGTAAGACTTAGCATACTATACTCCACAGAGCTAGGATGTTACTGTCAATGTGAAATCTGCTAACACTGGTCTCTCAGTCTCAATAAAGCTATTTTCCATCTTTTCAGGCCTGATGTCCTTGGAAACCCTACGATGAGATCTTTCTACCATAATGTTGTTAACATTCAGGTTTCCTATTTCACTTTCTGTCGATGGTTGAAATCATACTTTGCGGAATATAGTCTTGAATTCTTCATCGATATGAACAAGAACATGTTTCCTATGGTTTGATTCCAACCAGGGCGTAGGGAAGAGCTTGGATCAGAATTGTGTAGCCAAAATAGAGCCATCCAAGGTAAGTTTACCATCTCTTACTTTGTTAAAATCTTTCTTGCCTGGATTCTTATTGGTAATGAGACTCTTTTTGTCTAATATGATTTGCAGTGTATGTTTCCTCAAGAATTCGTGAGCAACATAAGAACCCCAGTCTTTCTTGTCAATGCAGCCTACGATTTTTGGCAGGTTTGATCTTGCAAAGCCAATCTTTATAAACTTTTCCCCTGATTCCATTAATAAGCTAATCCAACTCATGTTTACATTTCAGATTCAACATGTCTTGGTACCAGTTTCTGCTGATAAAGATAGAAGTTGGTCAAAGTGCAGACTCAATCTTAAGGAATGTGATGCCTCACAAATGAAAGTTCTACATGGTAATTTACTCCATGATTACCAAAGATCTCCTCTGTTTCAGATTTTAATCAGTAGATATGATCTGTTTTAGTTCCTTGGATTAGCTATAGACTATGTTAAGATATGATCTGTTTGGATCCGATTATTCTTGTAGTATTGCTTTCTAAAATGGTCAGTTGTATAATATTCTGTATTTGGTCTGCAGGTTTCCGCAGCTCTCTGATGGATGCGATAGGGAAGTTTCATCAGAGCAAAGTTGGTGGGATGTTCGTAGATTCCTGCTTTTCTCATTGCCAGACAACTATGTCGCTGACATGGCACTCTCCAACCTCACCAAGAATCGAGAATAAGGTAAAGACATCTGTTGCTTTCTTTCTCGAGTCTTTCTTCATACTTCAAATGGAACTGATGCGGTCCTTATCTGTGTCTGTTCTTGTTTTGTTGTTGGAGCAGACAATTGCGGAGTCTGTAGGTGACTGGTATTTCAATCGAAAACCGGTGAAGCTGATCGATTGTGCTTACCCGTGCAATCCCTCTTGTTACAACATTAATTTCACCTGAACTTGACTTATAATCCTCATTGAACAATCACTCTGCTTCTAAATCTCTTCGGTTCTCCGAAAGTTTCTTCATTCCGAGAAGCAGCCATTTCCTCCAAATTCTCTCTCAATCCGGTTTGAGTTTGAGTCCTAAAGGGTTATCTATGTTCTTGAAGCTGAAGATAATCCAGAGAAAGTCACATGTACAAAACATATGTAGTTCATGCTCTTCTGTACATGTTATATCGTCTCCTGAGATTGCATATGTATGTATTGTGATAAATTATTGAAACGATGTTGATTGATATGTGGAAAGATGTTCCAATATTGTCATGGAAGTAGCACATCTTGAGGTCCAGATAACATAGGCTAATATAATTCTTATAAAAAAGGTTAAAGTATGTCATTTAGAGTCAATTGAGTGATAGACTATGTAAGAAGAGATTTGAATTGTATATTTAAGCAGATAGCAAAAGATGGTCTCTGTTTTGTTAAGCAAATGGATGTGATCACGAACCAACTGAGGTATCTCCTCTACACGTCTAAAAACAAGAATGCAGGGTTAAGGCAACTACTCTGGGGAAGAATTTTATGTTATAAAGTAATGTGTTATTTGACTTATTTCTTACAAAGAAAAACAAAAAACTGGCATATTCTTAAATGCTCATTTTTTTCTAGTCGAAAAACTTAGTTCTACGGAAACCACACATATTTTGTGTTGTTAAAATAGTGTTTTCGCAAATCACAATAGGAAAAAGTCAAAGATTATATGTGAATTTAAATGCAAAACTCTTTGCTTCCACGTTCTCCATCCCAAAATCGTTGACAAGTTTTTAAAGGATCCACAAAATGTAGTTACGTGCTTAAGCATTATATATGGTTAAGCTGTTAAACTAATTGACTTATATAATAATAATAATCTAAATGTTCCAACATTATGTCCCGATCGTGGCCTTCATCGACTAGTAGCAGTATTATTGTCACTAGGAAAGAACCCGCGCAATGCGCGGGTTTATTAAACCAAATATTTTTAATTTAATTATTCAGAACATTAGATTCGAATATATCATTTGTTTTTTACTCGAATATATTAGATTCTGTAAGTTTTGCATTTTGTTTTTTTTCATATAGTTTTAAAATTTAGTTGTTATTTACGTGAAATCTTATATAGACTCATAGTGAATAGTTTCATATGTTTTTTGTTCTTTTATACAATAATTTATCGACTGGAGTTGAGTTCTTCTAATTTTCCTTATACTAACAATCATTATAGATTGATTATTATCCTACAGACTCATAGATAATAATAATTGCAATCCTTTTTAAAAGGAAATGAAATGAGCTAATTAGCCAGTAAGCCCATTTAAAGCTACCATGGAAACGAAGAGGTCCGATAAATAATCAAGCCATCAAAACGAACAGCATTACACATAATTTTGATTTAGATTTTTTTTTTTTTTAATACGAAAACGACGTCGTTTTGGTGTAAGACGAAAAGAAAAAAAAAAAATAAAGCAAAACGACGTCGTTTTGGTGTTAGGCGAAAAAAAAAAAAGAGAGTGCCACGTGTCAAAGGCTGGAGATTGTCCAAGCCTTATTAGTTATGTAGATTGTTATTGAGGTCTGTAGAAAATAGAAACATGTTGTATGTTGAAATTTTCAATTTTTTCTTTTAAAATAAGAAATTTGATTGCCGAGTTCATGCAATGCATATATTGCAGCGTAAGCATCCAGCTGCTCTCTCAAGAATATCTGGTATCTTTTTATGATATTAATTTCCTATCTGAGAAAAATATTAGTTTTATTTTCTACATTCATGCTTAGTCATTGCGATCTTCACATGAGACATGACGATGTAAAGGTTGAATATTGGTTTGTTATCTACAACGTTACGTTTTAAACATCTTTTTTCTTTTCTTTTCTTTGTTGCCCTTTCTCCTCAATGCTGTGCTCGAGTATCCAGACATCTAAGACACTTTCCCTTCCGGCGGCCAATGGTTCACCGTTATAAACATCTTTGGAGAACGGTTAAATCAGTTTTCGTACGTAAGAAAAATATTTGTTGAGTATCGTGTTTATTACTGATAAAAATATACACAAAAATGAGATAAAAATTATTCATTTACAAAACTCAGTAACCAGTAAAGTTATGATCTCTCATCTTGCACTTTGTTGAATAGCGTATACTAACGATTTACTTCCCGTAGATAGAAGCTAAAGCAAATTTCCTGCAATTAGTTTCTTCGCTGTGACTAGTCTAAACGACTAAACCACATTATAACATCTAAGTCATTTGACTTTTTGCATTCCATTAATTTAATAAATTCATACTTTTCTGCGATTTTTTTTTTTTGAATCAAACCACACGTACCTTCTTTAAAAGTCAACTCCCTCGTACCAAAAACGATTTTGTTTGAAAATGAATAATGACAAAAAAAAATTGCCAAGAAAACTGAGTTCATTCCATCGTCGCAATATCAAAATCTCTCGAGTATTCACAATGTTCTTGGTTCACAAGAATTCACCTATATTACAATAAGTAAAAGTATAGAAGAAATTAAAAAACAACATTTGGACTTTCGGGTTTAGTATACTAGTTTTTGAATAATAGTTTTTTTTCTTTTTGACGAGATAGCTCTTGTCAAAAGTTTCATTTGCAGGTTTTACTAATTCCAAAAAATAAATCAGAATAAACAGAATACTAACAGAATAAACCTCTTAAAAGTCAACTCTTTTCATCCTCTTCACCTTTTGGCTCCAACATAAATAGCCAAAAAGCTATTCATTAATGTCCCCACAAATGTCCTGCAGCAACAACAGCGTTTTTGTCTCCAATGAACGACACGACACCGTTTTTCCACTAATTCCCAAATTTCCTCTTTCTTCTACATACAAATGGGAAATGCTAGTGGCTGTTGCGCGGGAACCGCCGCCGGAGAAATTTCCAGTCGATACGATGTCGGAGTCGGACTAGTTCACGACAACCTCGGCCACTCTTTCTGCTACGTCGGGCCAATTCTCACCGCATCAAAATCTTCGTTCCCGCCCGAACCGTCCCTCCGACCCGACCCGATTCCGGAAACAACTACCACTTACCGTTCAATCTCCGGCGCCTCCGTTAGCGCCAATACTTCGACGGCGCTCTCTGCCTCTCCGTCAACAGACGCGTCGCTATTAGCCTCCGGGTTCGAGAGCTCCAATAGATTCGCTTCCTTGCCGCTCCAACCCGTGCCACGTGGTCCGGTTAAGAAAGCGGGTCATGGACCGGGTTTATTCGAGCGCCGGTTCTTATCTGGTCCGATCGAAAGCGGTTTAGTTTCAGGTGGGAAGGAAAAGAAGGAAACAAAGAAACAAAAGAAACTCAAATCATTTTCAAAACCCAAATCGAAAAAGAAATCTCTCACATTCAAAACCGTTTTCACGAATTTGATTTCTAACAATCTGTCTCGTTCGAAGAAGAGCGTGGTCGAGCCTATCAACAGTTCCGATTCATCAGATTCCGATCAAAATGCTGCTGATGATCATAGACGTGAAGTTAACTTGTCAAGCAAGAATCCGAGCAGCCACGAGAACCCTAGAACCGAAGAAGAAGAAGAGAAGAGTGAGTCTGCTTCAGAGGAGCCAAAGATTCAATGGGCGCAGGGGAAAGCAGGGGAAGATCGAGTACACGTCATCCTCTCCGAGGAAAACGGTTGGCTTTTCGTCGGGATTTACGACGGATTCAGTGGTCCAGATCCGCCGGACTTTCTTCTCAACAATCTCTACACCGCCGTGCTTAAAGAGCTCAAAGGCTTGCTATGGAACGACAAACATAGTCCAGTCGAGGATGATTCTGATTCCGGTGAAGAAAACTGCCATGTGATGAAAGGAGAAAATGTTGTTGCTTGTGGCTCAAGAAACATAACGAGTAGT